GTGGGGATTTCCTGCTACAAATCAGAGGGTAATTCAAGTTTGAGGACTTTCCAAGGAATGATCACTATTTTCTGTAGACTAGGCTTAAATTCTGGTGCTATAGTTTCAGGCTGCTGAGGCTGACAGCCCTGGTGACTTAGGAGTCATGTGATTATTGAAAGTCATCTCCAAAAAGAAGTCAAGATTTTTTTCTTTATTCACTTTACAAATAAGCATGTCCAATGTTTTGAAATGTTCCAGCAGAGAGACAATTATGCAGCAAGCTATAAATTCATAGGTGTATCAAACACTATTCTTGTGCTTAGCCTCTATCTCTGAGCTTCTTTTAGAGACATCTGTGTAATACATTGTACTGTCTCATTAGATTTTAAAGCATGTGAATGAAATTATTTAGAGACTATTCAAAGAGTTTATATGAGAATGTCCTTGAGTTTGGTTTGACTAAACACCCAGTATTTGCTTCATTCAAGTCATCTTGTTCTAGGTGTGGTACAAATACTTTATGGAAAGGGTGGATCCTTAGAAACAGCTCTCTCCCCTGCCTCTCATCCGTAATATAAATCATGCTATCTTTTTGCTGAAGTTGGAGTGTTTTCAGATGCTCTCCTTACTTGCTTTAAGTACTGAATACAGAATAACCTATTTAGCATGCTGAGACTTTCTGAAAATCTGCCTGGAATTATAAGAGGTAGGAAGTAGAATCACACAACAGTTGGGGTTAGAAGGGACCTTCAAGATCATCTCATTCTACCCCGCTGCCATGGGCAGGGACACCTTCCACTAGCCCAGGTTGCTCCAAGCCCCATCCAACCTGGCCTTGGACACTTCCAGGGATCCAGGGGCAGCCACAGCTTCTCTGGGTAACCTGTGCCAGGGCCTCACCACACTCACAGGGAAGAATTTCTTCCTAATATCCAATCTAACCTTGCCCTATGTCAGTGTGAAACCATTCCCCTTGTCCTGCCACTCCAGGTCCTGGTCCAAAGTCATTCTCCAGCTCTCTTGGAGCCCCTTTAGGCACTGGAAGGACCTCTAAGTTCTCCCCTCTAAGGTCTTCTTTTGTCTTCTCTGGGCTGAACAACTCCAACTCTCCTGCAAAGGATAACTGCCTCCAGTCAATCCTGATCATAATTTTTCCTGTACTAGAGTATTTTTTAACTTCAGGCCAGGCTGTAAATCTGGAGTTACTCAATTAACCAGAAATGCTGTTTTCTTTCTGTTATCAAAATTGCCAGAGACCCCTGGTGGCCTAGTGGTTAGCGTGCAGGACTTTCACTGCTGCGACCACGGGTTCGATTCCCCGGTCTCCTGGCCTGATGGAGGTTGTTAGCCCTGTGTGGCCATCCATCTATGAGAAGGACACTCGAAACAAACCTACGTCCTGAGGACCTCACTGCCATTGTCCAAGCTTGCTTGGCCCCGGCAGATGAACCTTAGGATTAAAGGGTGGGCTCAGTTCAGCGCAGGCTGTGTCTCACCTAAAAAATCCATTGCGCAGGCTGGAAAGGTAAAAGACCTTTCCCCAAATCTTCGTTCGCGAAGATGGGCCATTATTATATTATCAAAATTGCCAAAAGTAAAAATCTGAATTATTTTGTGTGGCTTTTGAATAGTGAATAGTCTAGAGACCCTAAATTGGTTATGTTTTTCCTCATTTCCTTATTAAAAAAAAGAACCAAGCAAAAACCCCAAAAGAAATAAAAGAACTAAACCAAAATCAATGAACCAATCAAACCCTCCCCCTCGCCCCCCTCAAATCCCTTAAACTAAGAACAAAGTCCCAGTTACTCAGTTGGAAAGCATTTTGCTGTCAAGTGCCACAGGTTTATCCAACGAGTGGGGAATCTCTGAGGATCAGAGTCTTCTCGATGATACTGCCCTGTTGCTGCTTTGAGGACCAGGTAATAAAAATGGCACCAATTAGCAGGATACTGAAACCAAAATTGTCAGAGGCAGTCAGAAGTTACTTGTTATTGTTTAGATACATTAAGAACATGCTGGTGACTCACAGGTGGCTTCTCAGCAAGTCAGTGTCCCGTAGGTTCCTCTTCAGTTGCTGTTGTTGCAACCTCATCAACGCTGGAGAAAGATTATGTTATTACAAGCTGATGAAAGCTGAATCCCACTCATCCAGAAAAATAGCTTCCCATTTATGGGGCAAGCTTCACTTTACAACCTTTTGCAATTGGTTTTTTTTTGGGGGGGGGGGGGTTTGGCCTAGGAGGAATGCTAATTCCCTCAATAATTGTGCTGGATCTTTTGTTCTTCGTCTTCCAGCAGGATCACCATATCAAAGCTTATTTGACATTAAGAAGAAAAGCTACTCCTAAGAGTGCCCAGCACTTGAAAAATAGGACTTTTAAGAGTTTCAGGAAAACACTATTATTCATATAGATATATAAAGGGCCTGTACAACTAAAGTATTCATCAGGGTCTAGAAATCTATCTACATTCTCTCTGTGATCCCTACATATTCTGGTTGACTCAAAGACTATTCCTGTGGTCTAAGCATCAATGCGGGTCAAAGCTATGTGTAGTCAACCAGATTTCAAGTATGAATTTCATTTCCAGCTCCTTGTGCTACTGCTTCTCTTCTGCTGGCAGGAGTTCTAATGCTGTAATATATACCTTGATCATCTACTCTGCTTTGAGAAACTGAGTTGTGTAACTGCAGTGGTCATTGCTTGTATGGCAGCACTTCTCATAGGAAGTGTTTTACTGGATCTCAGAAAAATTGTATTTTTCATCAGGGTTATTGTAGACTTGGTGGTATAAGCCAATAACATTAAAAAAATCCCAACCAAACAGAAACTTCCTTCTGTGTTGCTGTAAGAAGCATAGAGTGTGTTATTAAAACTTCACTCTCTAGTGAATTAAAACTTTTATAGATGGAAAAAGCATAGAAAAATATTTACAAAAGCTTAAAAGAATAATTCATCAGCCTCATGTACTGTAAAACACTTAGTTTTAACATTAGGAGAAAGTGAAAGTGTGAAGGAAAAAGAATATCTGTATTTAACATTAAACTTGCAAAAATGTAGAAAAAAACCAACACTGTATACATGATCAAAATATTATTTAAAAACAAGAACAGACTTCTGTGGTGTCTATACATTTTGTTTTCTGCAGTAGAATATTTGGCTTTTTACATTTAAATCCTCTCTTTCTTTTGGGCTAAAAAGGAAGCGGTGTTTGGCAAGACTCCAGAACAATGGAGTTTCCCAATTTGTGTGTAGGTTTCCCTCTGCACTGGCTGTTTTTACTTGCAACATTTTCTGTCCAAATAGGAAGTTTTAGTTTTTTAGAGAACAAAATTTTAGCAGGGTTTTTCTTAAGGAGTACTTGCAATGTGTACATGTTGGAGGGAAATAAGTGATTTCATGTAACAATTGACTGGCTTTATTTTTGGAGGAGGTAAATCTGGAGACACAGCTTGCACTCCGAAGAAATCTTCATCTGCTATTATCAGGGACAAGTATGAGTAGGGAGGTGAGGGGATGTGGCTTTAGGGGATGGTCTTGGGAAGCCAAGGGCAAGTGGGAAGCAGTTACTCCTGGTCTTCACGCTTCATGCCAAGTTCTGAGCTCTGCTGAATTTTTGCTCTTCAAACACAAGGCACTGACTCCTGAGTAACTGGGGCCACAGGGACTGCCAGCAACATCCCACCTTCATTGATCTCCTGCTGAGTTGGGAGGGGAGCAAGGTGACAGGGCTGCCAATTTGCTGGACTGAGTGTAAAGTACTAACGAGCAAGTTCAACTTTGCAATCTGGAGACTAAACTGCTAAAAAATGAAATTTGGAGTAAAGCTTTGAAAGATCCTATTCACGGCTAGCTTGGTCATCTCCTTTGGTACCAGTACAGTGCATTACCTTCAACAGGTATCCTACCTGTTTGCCTACTTTTTAAGCTGTTGTTACACTCCAGTCTCAGCTTTTTATGAACTAACAAAGTAGGATCCCTTCCCCTTCCCATCCAATTTGGTCACCCAAACCACCTGTACCTGTGCCAGCTGAACATTCACTTTTCTGAATGAGAGAAGTTAAAATTCTATATACACAAAACTTCAAATGGATTTCACAAAAGTGTTGTATGAAGATGTAAATACTGTCTTCCCTGTGGACACAGTGCTCCTCCTATATTAATTTCTGAGGTTTAGATTTTTTCTTTTTTTCTTTTGTTTTCTTTTAACAGCCCCTGCTTACATGGTCTGAATCTTAAACACTAGAGTGGGTAATTTTTCCTTTTGTACATTTCTTATAGATAACCATCTATATTTTGAATGTTGAATGAGTGTTCATGAGGATAATAACTGCTATTTTGTCCTATCCTGGTGTACTTTTCATTTTCATGATGAAAAGCAAACTCTGACACTGTTCCTTTTGTAATGTTAGAAAATGCAAGTAATGGGTTAATATTTCAACCTTTCTCTTTATTACAATAAACAATACAGAATTTTGCCACATTAACAAGAATAACTCTTTCCACTGTAATTTAATGAATTTAAATTTATATCTAAGCCCTGCAACTTTCCTGTGAATGATAGCTTCTAGTGGTTTATCAGTTGTGTGATGAAAAAGCATGTATTAGTTGTGTTCCGAATGCCAGTCAAATACAGTATATGGGAAGTATCTCATGTTCCTCTGGTGCCCAGTTGCAGCTGAAATTTGGCTGAGAGAAACAGAGTTATTTTGAGAGAACAGAGAATGTCTCTATATGTGCATCAGAGCATTCCTAGGAGTCTTAGCACTGGAAACAAAAATACCTCTTTTGAAATATCTTTTTGCTAGGCATGTAAACTTCTATCTGTGGTTACATTAGCTTCTTGTATTTAGTAAGGCATCACAGATGTTTTCTACTTTTTGTGGTTTAAGAATGGTATTCCCCAATTTACTGTTCCCACCAAACCACTCCAAACCATGTGCCGCTCGCTCACTTCCCCTCCTCCCTGTGGGTGGCTGGAGAGGAAAATTGGAGGCGCAAAAGGTAAAGATCACAGGCTGATGTAAGAACAGTTTACTGGAAACAGCAATGAAATAAGACAATGAACACAGCAACAGTAACAGCAACAATGCTAATAAAAGAGTGTACAAGAAATGAATGATTTGCATGAGTTCTCACTCCCAACAATACCCAACTGCTCCCTCTGCCCATGCTACTGACCCAGAAGGGAGCCCTTCCCCATCCCTGGAAAATGACATGAGGTGGTATAGCATAACCTCAGGGTCCTAGCCATGCCTCCTCCTGGCTACTGAAAAAATTAACCCTGTCCTGGCCAGAACCAGGACCCTACTTCATAATAATATTCTTTATGTCTTAGCTTCCTCTCCTCAACAGTTTTATAATCTATGCAAATAGCAGGCAGGTAACCTTCCTTGAGTGGTGCACCTGTTTCAAATAAAGCAAGACTAAAATTTGAGTTAAATACAAAAACTTCTAGTATGAACTTCTTTACTGTACCCTGTACTTTATGCATTTCTTTATATACAACTGGTGCTAGATGATTAGAGGGCAAGTTTTGTAAAGTCTGTGTGTGTATATTTTGAGTGGTTTTCTCCCTTCCATTTCCCAAAAGCAGAGAGAAAGCCATGAAAACAAACATTTTTTTGCACCATAACGAAGCTGCCTTTCTCAACAGACAAGAAGAATATACCATGAGTACATAATGTGTCGGTGTATAAGTGTATAAAGGATGTGTTTGCCAGTGATGATGTATATGGATCTGGCACATGCTAATCTCAACCAGTCAGAAAACTAGCACCACATCTAAAATGTGGAACAAGAGTTTAGTAGTAAACTTGAATTGTAGCTTTGCAAAGCAGCTGTACTTCATAAAGCCCAGGGAAACAATAGACAGTAACTTGGTCCGTGTGCTTATGGGGTATTTTCAGACATTCCCAGGAATCATATTTTCTCCTTGGGTAATGGATTGCCATCCATAGTGGGTGCCATTCAATTCTTTGGAATGCCTGCCCTTGGATGGACACCTGGTATATTAAGAGTCACAGAATCCCAGTAACAGGCAGAACAAAGGCATTTTAATATTTTGCAAGAATTTGTGCTAGAAATTTATTTTCTACTGCCAAGCAGAAAGAACAGAAACATACTGACTAATTTTTACCAGAACAATAATCAGACATCCACCAGTAAACATGAGCGTAGGCCAGAGGAAAGCAAAGAGGAGGCCTTTTGGGGGATAAAGTCTGCTTAAAATAACATTGGTCTGTGTTCCTCCTGGATCATAGTAACACGGGAAAGTGTGGTATTTCTTGAAATTGCTTGCAATTGTTTCTATTCGTGCTTTAACTTCTTTAGAGTTCTCCGACTTGTCTGGGACGTACGAGCACTGGAATAAGAAATTAAGGTGATTCATTATAATGGATACTCTAATACAAAGTCTGTAGTTAAATCAGATTGAGGAAAATGTCAAGCTAGTACTGACAAAATCTTCTGTGGTTTGGCATCCTTGAAGATTATCTTGGTTATGTCCATAACCCATTTGCAATGTTTCCCTGTTTCCATCAGTGTGTCTGTGCCCCCAGTCTGCAGATTTACAGATTGGAGTTATGTTGTTGGAAACCAATAACGAGTGCTCAAAAAAACCCTTGAGTCTTTGAGAATGTCACTTCATTATTACAGTGCCAAACCCCAATTCCAAACAGAGCTTCTAGGCACTGCCACAGCAGAAAAGTGTTGTGCAGAAATTCACACTGGCTTGTTTCACTGTGTGCCTTTGGTTGTAACTAGTAGAAAAATACAGCAAGTATGGCTTTTGGAGGCTTCCTACTTGTTCTTGTAACACAGAATGCAGTTATTTAGTCTTCAGTGGAAATACTATTAGACTCTGAAGCACACATTTTTTTTTGTTTGTTATTCATAACCTTTTTTCTCTGCAATATAATTTTTGATATCTAATAATGGTTAGGTATATTAAACTGGAAATTGGCCAAGGCAGAAGGGAGGATGGTTCCTGACCTGAAAACTTGCAGTAATGCAAGTAGGTAGGAAATCAATAAATCACCTCGTCTTGCAGTGAACAAGACTTGTTTCCATCTACACTGGATAATTTCTGCTTTGCTGCTTTATTACATGTAACTTTCCCTGAGATAGTCACTATAAAGATAGGCATTAGTTAGAAAAATTCTCTTCAGCTTAAGTGTTTTATGCTATTAGGTTTGCATTGTGTGAAACTCTAACTCTTTGCACTTGAAGTCTGAGCATGTTTATTCTGGATTCTGAAAGTAATTCAATCTTGGACATTCAAGATCTGAATTTCAATTTTCCCCCTTAAGACAGTTGCTGAGCTGGAATAAAGCCTCTGAAATACTCATGGGTTTGGAACTGAACTAAACCTGACCTTTCTTGGAACTGGGTACCTGTAGGAGCATTTTTTGTTCTAGGGGAACAAGCCCGAAAACGTTGAACACTCTGCTGATTCCCAAGCAGAAACCCTGGCAGGAACAAAAGGATAACACCCCTCACTTTCCCCCTCCCCAATCTTTCACAGACCTTTAAAATCAAATGAATATTGTGCACCCACATTTCTATCTCACCCATGCACTTGTCCTCTGGGGAAGAGATCCCTAAAATGACTGACCAAGGGATCTCTACCACAATACCCAGGATCTCTGCCTTACACAGGTGCTACCTTACAGTGCCACTGCCCTCTCCATGAGTCCAGGAAACTGCTGCACACCAAACCAAAAACAAATGAGTTTTGTGTGTGATCATCTTCCAAAATCACTTATTTGTTTCTTCTTTCTGTCTAAAATGTGCATCATGTTGCTGTTTCCTCTGCTTTCTTTATTCCCTGCTTCATATCATATGCCTAAAATGCAAGTAAAATTGGGATTTGTGATCTTATTTTGGATGGTTCTTAAATTCAGGTCTCTCATGATAATTCAACATGGAACTGGGCAAACCACAGCTTATAAATTAATTGTTCCAATTGGTCTTCAACTTGGAGACAAATATTTTAAAATATTCACAAATGTTATATGTTCATGTTGGTGTAATTCCTTAACAAGCATTAACTTACTGTTTGATGTAATGCTTAAAATAAAATCCAAAACTATGTCATTTTTGGAACGTTTTAAAAATGACATTACAGATTGGAGTTATGTTGTTGGAAACCAATAACATGGGTGCTCAAAAAAACCCTTGAGTCTTTGAGAATGTCACTTCATTATTACAGTGCCAAACCCCAATTCCAAACAGAGCTTCTAGGCACTGCCACAGCAGTGGTCCAAGACCAGACATTAATATGTAAAAGACAAGCAACTCCTGCTCTTACTGTGCTGCTTTGTTTAAAAACCATCACCTTAGGATTTCTTTCCAGTGTATCTTCAGTCTGGTACAGCATAACCTCCTGTCCCGAGGCTGTCAGATTAACCCACACCTGTAGGCAGGGATAAGAAAAGATGTCCTCATCCTCTGAGCCTTCGCTGTCTGGGCAGAGAACTTTGTCCTCGATGTTGGCCTTGAGTACCTTGCACACAGTTTCTGTTGTCCAAATGCTACAAACCCAAAACAAAAGATATTGTTTTTTAGCCCATTAGAAGCATCTGTTGAAAGTTACATGTGGAGATGCATCTGTGTGTGGTGGCATGGCTGGAGTTCATGGCCACTCCATCCTGCTGTGGTGAACTGTGTCCACCCTGATTCCATGGCTGCACTTGGAGAAAGGCTGCCATAGGGAAGAAGTGCAGGAAAGCATTTTTGTTGTTGTTGTTGCTGTTGTTTGTTATGCATTCTGTGTTTTGCAGTTAGATTTTGACCTACCCATCTTTAACAGGCTTCAAGTGTTGTTCAAGAAAAAAAATTGCTATGGATTTTAATGTTTGGTAGTAACTGCTTGGAATGCAGTACACTTGGTCTCAGAAATATTTTGACTAGTTTCCTTCAATAAGCCTCAGAACTCAGATCACTTCCTGCTGTTTTTCCCCTTCCCCCTTTTCTTTATTGCATAGGCCTTTTGCATGAATAAGAAGCCAGATTTTTTCTGGATAAAGTTAAATTTTTGCTGTTGCATATCCCCTTTTCTCAAGAGTTACTCTTCTATTATTGATAATGCAATAAACTTTTGCTCACAGCAGTATGCTTTGGTGGCAAAAAAGTCAAGAAATAATTTCACTCAAGTTCATACAAACTAATCTCTTTACATGCATCTGTCTTTTGTAATGTAATCTGGAGGCTGGAAAAGAAATAAAATATGTATGAATTACTCTGTTTTAAACATAATGGTTTTCAAACAGTTTTGAGATTAAAGATGCTCTAGCAAGAAGAACGAGGTGGATATCCTCACTTTCTCTATCAAAATCTTCAAATGTGAACAAGTGAGCTGCACTCTTTGTCTTGTTACTTTGATTTTTTGCAAATTGTTTTTTTTGTGTGGAGGCAGAATTTGCAAAATGAAATAAAAGTGTGGATAATAGTAACTCCTTCAGCATTAATTGTATTCTGCAACATTTTCTGGCACACTCTGTGCTAGTTTCTTATCATGGCTGAGTTAGAAGTAAGATACAGATTCTCCAGTGAACAATTTTATCTTGACTTCTGTTGCTCAAGTTTTAATATTTTTATTAAACACAACACTCTCCTGCATGTGGAAAAGCTTTTTAAAACTGATTTGATTTTGCAAGACTTGGCTTTTCATTGTCAAGCTTCCACAAGCATGGTTGTTTTTTTGACTTTATGTGTTTTCACACTAAATGTTTTATTTTTTATTTTGTTTTGTTTAGCCCCAAGGAGCATAATTTTCTCTTCCTTGTGGTTACTTTTAAGTGCCTAATATCTTGGCTCACTTTTTTTTCTCCTTTTTTCTGTCTTAAATCCTTATGAGCTCTTTGAGGGTACATTGTTTATTTATTGTACAATGTACTAACATATATTTTATCACTTTTTTAATAATTTTATTTGATGATGACAAGAAAAAGAACAGCTTTATTTCATAAACAAATGGCTGTTATTACCTCTTAGTGTAGAAAGGCACAATGGTGATCCCAATAAAAAAGTACATCATCATGGAGCATGCAACCATTCCCAGTCCCAGGCACAGGGCTCTTGTCTCCCCTCTCTTCTGAGCAGTTACCAGCTTCTTTCCCAACATGACCTAGAGTTGTGAAACTTGAACAACCTCTTTTTGGTACAAAATCAAATACAGAAAGGAGAGGGAAAACATGACAGTTATTGTGGTTGTGTAGCGAGTGTCTGAAATACAATATATTCCATGAAGGAACAGTCTAATTTTTGCAAAACTAGAATTTAAAAAAAAAAAAAAGTTACTGTGTTTTTTGTTAGACTCCTTTTCCACTTTTTAAATTTCCCCTATAGACCTTTAACAAGTGTATGTGTGTATAGGCTAGGAGGTGGGGTAGGAAAACCTGATAACTTTTGGGGAGAATTCTGTTAACAGTCCAATTCAGTCTATTTTATGTTGCTGTTTCTCTGATGTAAGAGATGTTCTGTTATCTATTGGTAAAGGCTGCATAAAGGGAAAATCTTCCCAGAATGGAATCCTTTTTATATGATGCCTTTTCTTCTGGAGTAGTCTGAAATGTGGTTGTCTTATTTCAAAAGAACTGAAATAATTTAAAATTCAGCATTTAAGATTTCCAGTTCAGACTTTTGCAAGTTTTTTGGCCTTGCCCATTCAGGGATACTCCAAACCTGATGTTGGTGTAACACTAGGGGAGCTCTTGGACATTGCTGTCTGAACCCGAGCTTGTGAGTGACTAGCATTAGCCCCCCCCACTCCCTTGTCAAAGAGTGTTCTAAATGATCTTCCTAATGCTTTGATAAGGAGAATCTGAAAATAATTGCTGTGAATCTATATGTCATTAAATCATTATGATATATAGGATTACTATGTAAATGGACCATAACTTTCACTGTGAGCTCAACTCACAGTATCTGCTTCACTGACAGCTGTGACTCCAGGTTTTTGGGGGTTTGTTTTTTCATGAAAACATGGCACAAGCCATTGCTATGGCAGAGGACAAGACTGGCAAGATTTGTGTGGGCTTTTTTTGAGATAAAAGAGGAAAGAAGAGCAGAAGGAGAAAAGGAAAATATGTTACATACATGCTGAACAAGTTTTCAGTCCTGTTCTCCTGTGCAAGGCAATGGTGCACAGCTTCATGCAGTGCATTTTCAGGATTATAGTTTCAGGTGTGTGTTTAGTGTTTATCCTTTCTGGCTGGCCTTCAGGATGGTGTGGTTCTGCCTAAATCCACCTGTGTTCAGACTTAAATTTAGATACAGTGTAAGACAAGTACAAACCAAAGTTAGCAAATAGGCTCTTCAGGTTGTCTGTGAGTAGGTGGTCTCCATCTGCCCCAGGCTGGCAGAGCTGTGCTGCTACTGCAGGTAGGGGACCACGCTAAATTTGGTGAACGATGAGATAGCTCTCAAAGCTGTGAGTTTCAGCTCTTAAAGGAAAGAATGGAAATATATTCTGGATGTTGCTTTCTTTCATGTTAGTTCTGGTTTTCACTGGTAAAAGTGCCTCACTTTGACTGTTCAATGATCAAAGGAAAAAAGTATTTGAACATTGACATGCTACTGTTTTTAGACTTCTATAACACCTGAATGTTTGTGCTATTAGCAATAAAAATAGACATCTGTGGACAGTAAAACACCTTTGGTTGTTTTGCATAACTTGGGGATAGTTGCAAATTTTAAGTACTTATTTTGAAGTTGCTTGTACATGATATCAAAGTGAAAGGCTGTTCTTAGGTGTCCCTAGAAACTAAAGGAGTTACTGTTACAGTGTGGAATTTTGTCCAGCTCCATATTTAATTCCACTTTAAATAAAACATCAACATCCACTGGGAATTTTGCATACAGCATTTTGAGGGGAGTTTTTTTTTCTGATGATTATGTATTGTACACATTGACATTTTAAGAAGCATCTCAATTTGAAAACTGCCATAAGACGAACCTTCCCTGTTTACTGGCATTTGAGTTTAATGCAGAATGTGAGCTAATGCCCTTAAGTAAGGCTGTATTGTGTTTTGCTTGGTCAATGGTGTTATAAATAGAATGTGTGGCATCAAATAGTGCCAGCATGCTCGTGCTGCACCTGCATATTCATGTAAAATTGGAAATAGCATTTATAAAACCCAAAGAATTCCAAAATATTTAGAATACTGGGCAACATGGCACATTAAGACACATTAAACTGACTCTCCTTTACCTATTGTGCAGCTTGGTCAGAGGGGAAAATGGAATAAGGGAATATCATTGGTCCTGGAGCACAGACCCCAAGACTATGTGGTAGCAGGTCCTTATAGCACAGTGGGAAGCTAAAGATAGGTGAGTGAAAACATGTGTTGTTAGTAAGAAATTCTTACATACAGTAACAATGATTAATCTTTAATTTTCTGTGAGAAACTGAAAAAATGAAAGACTGATACTGCCACCGTGGGTTGTGGAAAACTTCTGGTGGCCCAGTGCTGTTAAATGAACTGAGTTTTAGATGAGCCATTATGTTTACTGAACTAATCCAGTTACACTGAGAAATAGCAAGGTAATCAACCCCCTTGTTACATGGAAAACAGGAACCATGGGACTATTAACCAAAGAATTAATAAGAAATGTAATTGCTCCAACAGTCTGCTTGAATGTCGGTCACACACGCAGCAGAAGTACCACTAAGCTCATGCTTCTAGTATCTAAAACTGCAAGTCTACCTCTTTAAGACACAAAAGGAACTCGTATGTGTAAATTGGAAATTTTTCTCAAGTGGCCAAGGGTTTTCCCAGCATTAAGTGCAGCGCTGTTCCCTGTCCTGACACAAGCCAGACTGCCTGACCCTGGCTCTCTGCATGGGCTGCTGAGTGATCCTGTTTGCCTCTGCTCCCCCAGTTCAGATATTTGCTCTTCCCCAAAGTGAATAAGGACATTTAAATTATGCAGAGTGTGTTAACAAGAAAGGTTCATTGAAAATATCTCATTAAGTGCTTCTATGGATATATAAACTAAGCAGCTAGGTCTTCAGGCTGTGTAAATGAGGGGTGTCATTGTTCTATTGCTGAACCAGATTAGCTGTAAATGTGGTCCCCAAACTGAAATACGCATTTCCTGGTACATTTTTTTTCTGCTTTCAAATGTAGATGATCAGAAAAAATCTGTAACGCTATTTCAAACGTACAGAAAAATTTAAGAGGAAACACTAAACAGCAAAGGAAACCCACGTGGATTTTTTTCTTTTTTACATAAAAATTCCTATGTTCTTCTGCTGGAAATCCTTCATTTTCCAACTCTCAAGACAAAGCAATGCTGCATGCATATGGAAAAGTGTATTTATTTGGAATTTCCTTGTTCTGTAAAGGGTTAATTCTTTCAGATTAAAAAATTTTCTCTGGCTCCTGGCTTTGTCTGTGTATATTAGAACAAGTGTTGAAAGAGCTGATTTAGTGTTTCCTCAGACAAAATCATTAGGTCTTTGAAAATGAAGCACTGCAGAAGACTTGATTGGCCCAGGAAGTCTGAGCAAATTTGAATTGGGAGATGTTGAAGCATACAAGGTGGGCCTTCAGTAGAAAATTTAAATGTATTTTTGTACTGAAGATTTTGTGGGCTGTCTCCCTATTTATTAGGAATGTATAAACTGCAAATGTTTTCATAATGTTCCCTCTACCTAATCTTCAATCTACTTAAATTATACAGTACATTAGCTGTGCAATTTCAGTTATAATCACTGCATTGACAGCTGCTGGTGATAATACTAGGGATGCCATCTGGTCAGGTTTGGAATAGTCCCCTGTTTTGATTAGAGACGTTTGATACTTGGCAGGAAGTCTGCCTCCTCCTCCTCCCTCATCTTTGAGCAGTTTCCAGTGGTGTGACCTCCATGAGTTTGGATGGGACCTCTCTCTTGAGCTATTATAGGATGCTCTTAACTTGGATAAAGTATGAGTAATAGTGATGAATTCATCTTGCTTGCAGGAGAAAGGCTGCTAAATCCCTCTCTTGAATTTAAGTTGGGAATAAATATTAAGTGAGCTGGTCTTTTGTTTTTTTTTTTTTAGCTGGTGTATCTCACACTGTATGGTGAATTTCCAGTGAGTATTTAAGTATTGAATCAAGTTCTAATACAGCATCATACCAAGAAGAGTGATGCAAGTTATCCACATCTCTAATGTGATGAGGACTTGTTAAACAGGCCAGGACCCTTTGGCCTCTACAGCCTCTACATACAAAATAGCCTATTGTTTTCTCCTGTCAAGTGCCTATTTAATAGTCACCTTGTTTTATTCTCAAAACACCTTATATGGACAACTTAAAAACTGCCAGCTTTGCTGGGTTTTTAAGAGGAGCATAGTTTTTGGTGACAGTTTATTGGCCAAGTGCATTGTGTGGGAACCAGAAGGCAAAATTTTTAGATCTGTAAATATGAGCTCTGTACAGATTATGTTATTGGGACAGAGCTTGTGTTTACATATTTATTACTATCTCTGAGTAGAGTTAGTTTGATCACTCACACTTGCCTACCTGTGTTTTCGTGAGTATTTCAACATTGCTTAGATTCTTCCTTTCTGTTCCAATCCTACACTCATCCATTTCTCATCAGCTGCCCCACCACTTACAAGAGGCTGAAGTCAAAACTGCATTTATGTTGTCACTTTCTTTCCCTCTCCCCACCCTCAGTTTCCTCCTCTAGCAGTTAGAGGCGTTTCTTACTGGTACCAGGGGTGCTGGGGCCAGAGAACACTGGTTTTGTTCATTGTAAATTGATAAGAAACCATTACTTAATAAGTTTTCTGTGTATCTGGGACCACAAGTACTGTATGTTACAGAATAAGGTGGTGCTGAACCTCGATGGAAAAGTGCACAGCAAAGAAGATTCTCTTATAGTTGTCTTGGAAACCTGAAACAGCAATATTTTGACTGCTTAACATGATACAACTATGTTTATTTTATGAAATATGCTGTATAATTTTGCTTTGTTGCTGTACTGTTTACCTGATGTGCCACTAGAGTGAATTAAAGAAATTAGCTTTTTCTTCTCTTTAAAAACATATGCAGCTATTTAAGACTAATTCTTTTAGCTTTTAAACATGGTCATTCTTAAAAAAATTAAAAATGGGAAAAAAAGAAGTTACTTAGTTCAGCAGTTTTGAAATCTTTCTGAAGTGCTTGTTTTTGATTCTGTGCTGTACAGGGCTGCACAGAAGAAATCAGTTTAAGAGTAGGTTTTAGGGAAGTCTGGAAGAGTTTAAGTGCCTTACTTATGGTAAACTACGCACAACCTCTAAAGTAATGCTCAACACCCAAAGCTGTGAAACTCCTAAGAGTAAAGGTGTATTTACCATTAAAATGAATAAAAGCTATGATCTTAAATGAGCTCTATACTCTTAATTTGTGAAAATATTACTGTTACCTTTGCTAACAGTTGTGAAGAATGATCAGATTGCATCGAGTTACAAAAGAGAGAACAACTTAACTCACATGCTACAGGAAAATTATCTGTGCTGTCCTCCATAGTGCTGCAGATTTAGAAAGCCTGTTGCTTCCCAAAACACTGTACTTTTCAGAACCCAAAGCTATTGCATGCTCCCAAGGAGAAAACATTGGCTTAGAAATATACTCACAGTTTTTGATGAAATGCTGCTTTCACTGACAATTAAAAAAAAAAACTTCTGTTACATGACAGACTTGAGATAGTAGTAGAGCTCAGAGCTGAAACAGATTTTTATTATTTTTTTCCTTCCTGTACTTCTCTGGGTTTGCTTTGCTGTGGCTGAACTCCTAACTTAGTTCCCCTATTACAAAGCCTTTTGTAACCATAAATGGTAAGGTATGAAAGAGCACTGTCCTTTTGGAGATTCATTGCGGAAACTAGGAAACCACAATATTGACTGACTTTTCTCATACCCTAGAGTCCCTTTACCACATACCCTGGTGGATTTGTGTTAAGCTATGGCTCTACTCTTTTTATACAGCTTTTTTAGTTTAGAAATCTGACAGATCTTTTGGGTAAGATTTAAGGAATTGAATGTATCAATGACCAGTGGTACTGATTCTTAATTCTTAATACCTAAGCTATTACCAGCTGTGTGTGAATGCTTTGTTGCCACTAGTTTCAGTGAGTTTGAATGCAACAGGCGCTAAAATTTTGACTGTACACCCTATAGACAAGAATAAAGCATCCATCATGCCATAAATGTTACAGTGTCTGACGTTCCTCTAGCCAAAAAGCAAAGCAAGTTTCTGGGATGTATAAATGGATAACTTCTGTAACAGAGCTTCAGAGAAGAGCTAAAATAAAATTATTTTGTAAATTTTTCTGTTTTGAGAGAGAAAAACTCTCTCATTGGGAGACTAAAGGAATTTAAATGAATTAGTCCAGTAGAATCACTAAGAGAGCACTTGTAAACAAGGGTAGGACATCCTCCCCCCCCCCCCCCCCCGGGCTTTAGGTATCTGCTAATTAGCTCTTGTGGCTCAAGCTGCTCTTCTAACCTTGCTTTTGGTAAAAGATTTGAAGTTTACATGCTCAGAGTGCTCATGCTGTCTGAAGATAACCTATAGGACCTTCAATAGGACCTTTTCTATTATTATTGATGCAGTAATAACAAAGCTAACTTGGATTTAGATAGACCTTTACAGCTAAGTAAGAGGAAGCCTGCTACTATCATCTAGTTTGGAAAGATTTATGATCATAGTAATTTTTTAATACTTGAGATGTGATGTAGTTAAATTTAAAGAATAAAGAATTTGAAGGTTAGAAAAAAGAGTTATTTCCAGATAAAAGAGGATCGGGTTGAGTGGAGTATTCTATAATTTTTTGATACTTAGAAATCAAGACTGGATATTTCAAAGATGGATATTTCAGGCTCTGCTGACTCAAGGAAAAGTCATGATTTTAATGAGGAATGTATTAAAAATGATTTTTGGGCTGTGTGATTCAGCAGTCAAGGTAGAAAACAAGGTAAGCCCTGCTGAATGAAATTCATAAATCTTCAAATTAACTGTCTTCTCTGCCTATTCTCCTTAACCTCAATGGTTAATACTCACAGATCAATTTCTAACTCCTACACTAAGGAGTTCTACTGCAAAATTGACACAAAACTTGTGGATTCCAGAGCAAAAATATAGAAAAAATTTTTAAAAGTTTTCTCAGTGGAAGGAGGTGGTGGTAGAGTGGTTGGGCTCAGTTTGAGGTGCACTGGTGGTTTGTTTGAATACACAGAAGCTATGCTCCAAGTCTGGTGCTACACAACACTTTTTGCTTGTTTTTTTCCTCTCACATCCACTGCAGACATACAAGTCTAGATGGTTGCTGGCTCTTGGAGAACTAACCCGATAAAATAACGTGGGTGTGCTAAAGGGAGGTCCTGTATTGATATCCACTTCTAACCTTGGGATAGTTCAGCGTGCCAGTAACCTGTACCAATTGACATGTATGCATTGGAGCTCAATGGCAAGCCAGATGTTTGTTGTACTATAAACTGTAATTCTGTAAGTCACAGTCTAAAATATCCTTTGTCTTCTTAAGATCACATGGAATATTTTCTTTTTTTGAATGTGAGGGGTGGGAGGAGAAAGCGAACTATCCGGTGCTTGAAATCACCATGGCTCTCACAGGGACACTACTTCACTGTTTTCTGATAAACTATAGAACTGGTGCTGCTCGGTTCCTCCTTGCCTTAATGCTGACCCAGAGAGGGAGTGTGGGATCACTGCTGGAAAGGCTGAATACCTGAGAATGTTCTGTGAGTATTGGTGGCAGCACAAATTGAGGCCAGTTAGGGTCACCTGGAGCTAAAGGCAGTAACTCCTGGTGGTCTATGATCCTTCTGCAAATACTAGTTTTAGCCAAGATAAAAAATTTTTTGGGGAACTTCACAAGTTTTGCTTGAGGTGCTGTTTAATTGGGAGAAGAAAAAGAGAAGACATAACTTCAGAACAGGCATTTTTGAACTTCAAATACTCTATTTAGAATCTGCACAAGTTTATTTTCAATGTCTTGTTTCCCACTTATTTTATTCCAAGGTATTAAACCCTTTGGCTAAGGCCAAAATAAATTTCATTTGAGGGATAATTTCCTGTAATTCTTTAAAAAATGAACAATGCTTCAGCTTGGAAGATATTGCTATGTCTATGAGTTAGTGAAGTAGCTGCACTTAAAATTATCAGCCTACAGAACTGCAAGGATCTACTGGGCAAATAAAAGAGAATTAAGATAAATATTTTTGGGGAGTTAAATTCTCTGTAGAGTGCTAGTGGAAGAAAAATCATGTGAGAGAAGGTCTATGGCTCTGAAAGAGACAATGTGTAAACATGAGCATACAAGGATAGTAGCTTTGTTTTGTAAATAAAAATATGAGGAAACTGTAAAGAGCAGTGGCAGGGAACAAGACTTTCTGGTGTTTACTCGCTGTACTGCTCTGCAGTTGTCCTTTGGGCATCATCTGTATTGCAGAATCCTTTGTTCCAGCCCCTTCTGCTCCTTACCACCGGTCATTGCAGGGGGGTGTTCATTCAGAGGGTGCTTAACCTTTCCAAGGAATCTGACTTAGCTGGGATTCTGAAGCTTCAAGGAGACTCAAGGGAGTCTGGTTTGACCCTACGTGCTTCTGAACAGTTTATTCTTGTGATGTCACATGCATAAAACATTCAGTGTTTGCAGGTGACCTGTTGCACATTAGACTGCTCTGTGTAACGGGGATCTTGCTGGAAGCCCAAGTCAGATTAGATAAATAATATCTGTACTCAAGCAGAAGTGATGTGAATTTGCAAACTCTGAACTCCTTTTGGACTCTGATGTAAAGAGCAGTTCAGGATTTAAAATGGGGAAAGGAAAAAAAATAAAGAAGCAGTATCTTTTAGTTGCTCAGAACTGCTTATTCAGTTCTTCTAAGATGATCATCCACAAGGGTTTTTTTCACCATTAGGGCATAAGAAAAACACACTGGCTATGAGATAGAGCAAATGTAATAAGTATTGTCATTTTATTTCCAGGACTCTCTAATGCTTCTAAAGAATCAGTGAGCTGTGAAATGAGCACAGTTGTTTGGATCTCCAGAGAGCCCTGCAAAGTTATGAGCTCCCTCTTCCTAATTGAAACGTATTTATCGTGTAATACGTTGTTATTTTTAATGGGCTTCATAAAGAGAAGGTGTGGCTCTTGAACAAGGAACAGTCAAATAGTGAAAGTGGTGTGAATCAGGAGGATGAGGATGTTGGCATGTCTACATCAGGCACAGGCAAACTTTACGACCGGCTGCTTCCTTCTAAGTAACCAAATTAAACTGTTTGCTGGATTTGCTGTTAACTCCCCAGTTTCATGAGGGCTGAGAGTGTCCAGTTTTCACACAGATACGTGAGCAGGGATTTTGAAATATTTGTTTAGCCTCCAACTTCACAGCGTGGTGGCTGTGTGCTTCTGATGATTCCCTGAGCGAAAGGTAGATGAGCTGTGATGGGCCTCCCTGAGGCATGTCATACCTGTATTAAAGCATAATGCTGTTATTTTTCTCTGACATTACGAGAACTCTCTTACTACTGTATCTTGCAACTGCTTAACTGTTTGCTGCACCCAACGCCCTGTGGGTACACTGATTTCAGAGAAAAGGATTTTCAGTCAGAGAGTAAATGCTTATTCTCTTTCTCAGTTTGGGTCTTGTATGTGTAATCAGTTCTCAATAATATTATTCCATCTAGAGAAGCCCTAAATAGGAAAAAAAAATAAAATCTAACCACTGCCACAAAAGGACCCCAAAGAATAAAAAAAACCCTAAAAGCCACAAAACCAAACAAACTCACACCCCAGTTGTGGATTTAAAAGTTTTTTACAAAGGGAGGTCTTTATTCTTGCTTTATTAGATGGGCACAAGGCAATAACTGCCTTTGCGTGGCAAGGGTTTGGGGAATTTCTGCCCTATGCTCTTTCCAGTTTGTAGTCAGATGCACAGGGGAGGCATGGGGGCTGCTCTGAGACCATAGCCTCAGCCACCTTACTCCTTTTATCTGCCACAGTGACATATGCTATCTCACTGTTATATGCTGAGCTGTATTGACTCTAGCAAGCAAACCTGAATAACAAACTTTCAGCATAGTCAGAAATTGGTGTTGTCTAATTTTGTTTGTGCCTCAGGCATGTAATACATATCATATTACACTTGATGCTGATGGGAGTTTTATGCAAAGACTGAATAGTATCTGATTTCAGGTAAACCAAAGCTGCTAGGGAAGCAGTTTCGCATTCAGGTTAACTATAGCATGAAGAAAATATAAGGCATTTCCTGAATTTGTGAACTTATTGCAGTGACTCTGATACAATTAAGTATGAAATATAACATATAAGTATCACATGGTCATGCTGCGGGACATAAGCATTGCAAAATAACGAAGGCACATGCTTATCCAAGATAGGATGGAGGGCTGACTCTATTAAATAGTGTTGTTGCTAATGGTCTCAGTTGTCTTCTGGGGAGTTTGTTTCCGCAGTGAAATAGGTAATTTTCACTGTCTGAACTTTATTCAGTGTTTGTATTGTACCTGAAAGAAGGGGTTTCACCTCCTCATCTATAGAATGGGAACAGTATTTCCTTCCTTACTATCTTAAGGCAAAATAAGTTAATGAAATGTAATTTTGTAATGGCAGGCACTCGGTACAAAAGCTGAGTATAACTTGGTATGTAATCTGGACAACGAAAAGAAAATTGTCTTCGTTTTTTTTTTGCCCCCTGATTGAATAGTTTGCCAAGCTGACAAAATGCAGACAGAAAAGAGGAGAAATAAAAAGAAGCTTTAAAAAAAATAAGATATA